TGGAGAGATTTTCACTGTAGGGCGCGTGCGCTCGCCAGACAGACAGAGAGAGACATAGAGACAGAAAGCGAGAAATCACCCCCCAGGAGGGATGGTCACGCCGCAATCCCTTCTCCTCCATTCTCCTCTTGGGATCTTGGGCACGCACGCACACGTGCCCGGCGTGAGTTTTAAGCCACCGGGTCTGAGACGCGAACCGCGGTCGACTACGTGGGAGTCCAGCAACATAGCCATTACGCTAACTGCTGGTTCCCTGGTATGAGTTTTAAGCTGCCGGGTCTGGGACTAGAAATGCATTGACTACATGGGAGTCCAGTGATGTAACCATTATGCCATCTGTTGGCCTCCATGGTCTTCTTTAAGAGAAAGTTAAGGTGTTTTTGAAAGGCAGTTAGATTACTTGTTGACTTTGTTTTGAGGCCAGAGAGGGTAAGAGAATGCAAGAAAGCAAGTTGCCAGGTCTGAGACTTGAACCACGAACAGTCACGTGGGAGTCCAGCACTCTTAACCACCATGCCACCTGCCAGCCCCTCTGTATTATATTTTCAAGTTGCTTTTTATAATATAATCACTCACAATGGTATTTATATTTCATAGTACTTTCAAATAATTTTCATGTTTTCAGAAAATAGTAGTGATTAAGCATATTTTTTCAAGTAGAAAAGAGATGGAAAAAAATAATAAAAAAGCAGAGAGAAAAATAGATAAAATTTTAAAAAGTTTTTAAGAGAATTATTTTATTAGTTATTATTATTTTTAATTTGACCAGACAGAGACAGAGAGAGAGAGAGAGAAAGGGAAAGTGAAAAAGCAAGCCGCCAGGTCCAGGCCTTAAACTGCAGTTAGCTATGTGTGAGTACAACACCTTAACCACTGGGCCACCTGCTGGTCCCAAAATAAAAAAACAAACAAACAAACAAACAAAAAAACAAACTCTTGAAGCCAGTTGATGGTGTAATAGTTGTGTTGTTGGACTCCCACGTAGTCGACTGCAGTTCAAATCCTAGACCTGGAGGCTTAAAACTCTCTCTGGGGGAGATGGCAGGTGGCATGGTGATTAAAGGCACTGGAGTCCCACATGGCCAAACACAGTTAGAGTCCTGGACTTGGCAGCTTGCTTTCTCATTCCCCCACCTCCCCACTCTGTCCCTCTCTTCAAATTAAAATAAATAAATAAAATAAAGTTAAAAATAATTCTTTAAAAACAAAGACAAAACACCTCACTCTGGTGTTTCTATAGGAAACACGTATGTGCGTGCCCAAAATCCTGAGAGGAAAATGGAGGAGAAGGGACTGAGGCGTGGCCATTCCCCTGGAGGGTGATTTCTTGCTTTCTGTCTCTCCATCTCTCCAGCGAGTGCTCATGCCCTATAGCAACAATTTCTCTTAAAAAGATTTTTTTTTCTCTAGTATCTGTGATAAATGTGTGCTGATTTATTTATACTCTCTTTCATGGCCTATCTTTGGCTAACATTTCTTTATGGAAAATACTGCAAAAAGTAGGACAGAATTACTACTAGAATTTGAAATATTAGTAACATATTTATAATTTCATACTTGCAAACTGCTTAGATGCTGGTCTTCTAAGAGTTTCTGAGTTTCTTCCAGTTTACGCTGGAACATGTTTTTGTTGGTAGCCAAGTTTGCCCTGCTATTTTCCTTCATTTCTTTACCATGATTAATTTTGCATAAGAGATGTTTCTGTTGCATATGATTATCTTTTGGCAATGCTGAAGGCAAGGCAGAATTTACAGCTCTGTGAATTAGACATAAAATATACTTAGTACATATAAATAAAATCAACTTCTTTCTCTAAGTATACAAATGACACACTTGTGTAGCATGTGTGTGTGTGTGTGTCTAGATAATCACATATAAGGATAATGGAGAAATATACAGACAAGCTAGAAAGGGAATTTAAGTCAATCAATAGTAGAATAAAAACAGGATGTGACTGGAGTACAAATAAAGAACACCACCTTTGTGTAGGAATGCCAAATTATTCACGGCTTTCATCATTATATCCTATTCCTCTATCATCTGGTATAAGGGTAGAAATAATTCCTATAGAAAGGTAGAGTTAGTCCTCAGTTCTTAAAGAGCATTCCTATAAAGATAATATATGCTGCATTACCCTTTGATCTGAGTTTATGTCATGACTGGTAGGTACTCTTATAACCTTAATAGAGTTAGTTGACGAGTCAAGCCAATAGAAAATATGAAAACTGCTTGTAAGGGTAGGAAGGAATTTCCTCCCTACTCAACTGGCTTGAGACCTTGACTCTAACTCATTGTACATACTTATTTTTATTTGGTTTAGAAATATAATCAGGAATATAAATGTGGCTTTTTACAAAAGAGGTATTCTTAATACAGTCTACTACTAGTGTGCCAAAGTGCCACCACAAATTTATCAATGTATGACATCATCTTCTCTAAGAATTTTGTATCATCTGGAAACCTATAATGTTATGTTTAAACATATACATAAAATAAAAAGCAAATTACTATGGAAGTTTAGGGGGAGAATGGGATGGGATGAAGATACCATGTAGCTGACTATCTAGTGCATTAGAATAGTGAGAATCCCAAAGATACTTATTCTCAATTAAATCAAATTATTGCCAATTCAGTGAGGATAAAAATGTGGAAGGCAACACAGGGCCACATGTGACATAAACCTATCTCCAATACCCATATATATGAATTTATTTGGACAAACTAGAACAGTCAAGGTCAAAGAGTACTAGAATCCTAACTATTCCTTTGTGATCACAGAGAAATCAGGGAGAACAAGGTGTTTAGTACAAGTTCCTAAACATTGAGAATATGTTTCGGTCTTCATTTTGTACTTTCCTGTTCTTACATATACTTCCCCTTTGTCACCCTTCCCCCCAAAAATATTGCTAAATCTACAAAACGTCTAGTAAACTCAATTTATTTACCTTTAAAGTTGTCGTCTCTCAACTTTTTCTTCTCTATTCTTTTCTTCTCTACTCCACTTTCTTCTCTTCTCTTCTCTACTTTCTTCCCCCAGTGAGGAGGATTGAAGGGATGAATAGGAATAAAAGGAGCCGGGGAGGTAGAAATAAAGGGAGAGAGAAGTATGGGGGGAAAGGAAGAAGAAACAGGAGAAATTGGAGAGGGAAAAGCAAAATATGTTGGAGGCAAACATGGAGAAGAAGATGAATGCAAAGGAGAGGGGTAAAGAGGGACAGATGAAGGATGTAAAGATGGAGAAGTAGTAGAAGGTGAAGAAGAGGAAAGAAAGGATGATGAAGATGAAAACACTCTAGAGGGTGAAGAGGAGGATGCGGAAGTTGAAGGAGATGACGACAAGGAAGAGGAAGGAGAATGGCAGAGAGGAGGATGGGCTGGAGTTGAGGCAGGTGGATGGTCTACAAAGACCTGGGGCTGATTAGACAATGCTGTGGTTTGTGGAACAGATTGCTGGACTGACTGAGAAGGATCCAAGCTAGCAGGATGTTTAGGCAATGCAGTGTTATAAGAAAGGGTGGGGAGTGGTTGATGAAGGGGATGACTGGATAAACAAGAAGGCTTCAAAACAGGGAGAGCTTCCAAAGGGGCTGGGGATACAACCAATCGAGCTGGAAGGGAACGACGAACAAGGGTGGGCATTAGAGTGGCAGGGGTAGAACGCTGTGCTGGAAGGAAATGCTTGGGTCTGAACGTTTTGTAGAATAGCTTGTTTTGTGGGTCAGGATCAGGAATGACTGGAGAACTTTGGGGTGGGTGGGGTAGATGGTCTGGTGGACCAGATGAAACTGGGGCAGGGAGTCGAGGGAAAGTGCTAGAAAAGCTAGAAGTAATTGGGGCTGGAGGGCGAGGAAGATACTTAATTGGGTAAGCCAATAATGGTGCTGGTAAGGAAGTCTTTGGAAGAGCAGAGGGAATAGGTGGATGGATAGGCAGGGAATGGGGCTGGCGGATGGGAGAAACAGTTGGGTAGCTAGGAAGAATCTGAGAATGGTGAGATAGCAATGGGGCCCGTGAAGGAGAAAGCTGACCAGGTAAGTAGGGATCAGGTGAGGAGATTGCTGGACAGGCAGGGGTGGATCTGCATAGGTGGAAAAGTATTTGGACAGGCAGGTAGAGAGACAGCCTTGTTAAGATGATTTTTTTTTCTTTTTTATTTTATTTTTGGTTTATTGGGCTGACACAAGGGTTTTGACTCATGGTATTTATTTATTTATTTTTTTGTCCCTAGGGTCCACATGTGATGTTCCTTTGGTCAAAGAGTGTCCTCTAACATTGACTGAGAAATGTACAAAGCTTTTTCAAGTTTCCCTGTTCTCATTCCTTGCTGTTAAAGTATTTTAACTTTCTAGAAATTTGCTAATCATTTAGATACATAAATATGGGCTGTGAAATCTGGTTTAAAGCATTGGTACAAAGGGTAAACAGAGGTTAAAAAAAAACTGCTCAACTCTGGCCAGATTTCATAGAGTAGCATGGGGTGCAGGATCAAATGTACAGGTGGGGAGATTGCTGGACAGGCAGGGGTGGATCTGCATAGGTGGAAAAGTATTTGGACAGGCAGGTAGAGAGACAGCCTTGTTAAGATGATTTTTTTTTCTTTTTTATTTTATTTTTGGTTTATTGGGCTGACACAAGGGTTTTGACTCATGGTATTTATTTATTTATTTTTTGTCCCTAGGGTCCACATGTGATGTTCCTTTGGTCAAAGAGTGTCCTCTAACATTGACTGAGAAATGTACAAAGCTTTTTCAAGTTTCCCTGTTCTCATTCCTTGCTGTTAAAGTATTTTAACTTTCTAGAAATTTGCTAATCATTTAGATACATAAATATGGGCTGTGAAATCTGGTTTAAAGCATTGGTACAAAGGGTAAACAGAGGTTAAAAAAAAACTGCTCAACTCTGGCCAGATTTCATAGAGTAGCATGGGGTGCAGGATCAAATGTATCATCATAAATACATGGATATTGGAGATAGAAATCTAACAATATCATTTTGTTAAAGTATAAATATTTAATATGGGAGAACATATACCCTTTCTTACCCTGTACCTACCAGAGGGTAAAGTATATTAGCTTTGTGATAAGGATTTGGTTGTGACAGATTATTTCTTATATTTTAAATTTTAGTTCTTATTAATATCCTTGTATCATATTAATTACTGAAGCAGCGCCTGTGTTCACAGAAAGGTTAAGCATTAAGTGCCCTCCACTTTTTCATAACTTTGTCTCTTTAAGATTATCACATTACCAATATCTTAAATTACTTGAAAATTATTTTTATCTAAAATTGTTTTTCTACATCAAAACAATCTTCATGAGTACTGAAAAGATTTTTGAGTTTAAATGCATTTTATTTTTAGACAACCTACATGACATGTTTTTTTCTGTAAAAACAAAGCTGAAGTTTTAGAAGCACACTGTTTCTTGTCATTACTTTATTTCTTAAAGCATTTTACATTGATAGTCTAACTGAAAATGTATTTTAATGTAATAATGGTTTATCAATATTTGTAACTTAATTATATCTATCCATCCATCCATCTATCTATCTATCTATCTATCTATCTATCTATATGTTTCTTTTTTTTTTTTAGAGAGATTTTTGCTATAGGGCACGTGCGCTCACCAGACAGATAGAGAGAGACAGAGAGACAGAAAGCGAGAAATCACCCCCCAGGGGGGATGGCCACGCCACAATCCCTACTCCTCCATTCTCCTCTCGGGATCTTGGGTGCGCACGCACACACGCCTGGCGTGAGTTCAAGCAACCGGGTTTGGGATGCAAACTGCAGTCGACTACATGGGAGTCCAGTGACATGGCCATTACGCTAACTGCTGGTCCCATAACTTAATTATATGAGTATTTCCACTAACATAATACATGATTCTTAATATTCCAATATCTCATATTTGTATGGCATTTTATAGTTTACAAAGTACTTTCATATATATTACTTAATATTCTTCAGAATCCGTGGAGAGAAATCCAACTTTTTAATAAGTAAACTACAGTGTTCTCTACATATTGTATGTATTTGTTATTTCCTAAATACATAACATTTATGTTCCATATGTGTGTGTGTGTTTGTGTATATATACACACATATAGATACACATTATCATAAAGCCAATGGTCATAATCCCATATTACAATAATAACATAAAAATGAACAGATAATTTCTCATGAAACAGATCATGTATATGTTATTTAATGATCCGAGCAAATATTTGCTATAATAACTATATGTTTATTTGTTAGAGTGAGATGAAGTTGTTCTGAAAGTTTAATTTTTCTAAGATTCTAAGCAACTGTTCACTGTTGAACAAGAAAAATGGCTATGCTTTCATTCACAGTACAAAATTTCTTAAAAAGAATTCTTTATTATTACTTTTAAATTTGCTAAAGGGCAAATACACTCACCAGAGAGAGAGAGAAGAGGAGAGGAGAGGAGAGGAGAGATAAATATAGAGGGGAAAGTGAGACGCCAGGACCAGGACTTGAACCGCAGTCAACCATGTGGAAGTTCAACACCCTAACCATCACACCACTTGCTAGCCCCCAAAAGAGGTTTTTAAAATGTGAAAATATATGATAACACAACCTGCATTAAAAAATGCTCATTATTTCTTTATTAATTGGTTTAGAATTAAAAAAAAAATTTTGCCAAAGGGCTTATGCACTTCCCAAAGAAACAGAGACAGAGAGAGGTGAAGAGGGAAAAAGCACCCCTCAATGGGGCATGGTCAGGTCATAATTCTCTTCTTTTCTTTCATCCTGCTGGGATTCTAGGCATAGACATACAAGCCCTTGGTGTCATGTTTTCCAAACTGCTGAAGCCAGGATTCCAACTGTGTGGTTGGCCATGTGGAATCCAGCTCCCTTAACCATAGGCCATGGGACAGTTCTATAGTCCCTCTGAATACTAGGACATCCTGTCCCCCAACATACAACTCTTTGTCATCTTTTCTTATCAGACAAGCCTTTCCACAGAGTACCCTAAAATTATATTAACATTACTGCCTCACTCAATTTCTATTGTTTCTTAACCCACTGCTATCTGGTTTCTATCCCAACCATTTAAATAAATTACTTTGTTTATAATTACCTTACTGACCTATGGACTGCAAAAACAGATTCTTCTTGACCATTTGTTTCCTGACTTCAATTTCCTTGGTTTGCATATCTCATGTTCTCCTATTTTGCTACTTTTCTGATTGCTCCTTCTTAGATTTTTTTGAGCAATTCTTTCTCTGTTCTTTACATGTTATAATTTTTGAGTGTTATGAAACTTCACTTCTTACTCTATACTTTCTGTGTAATTTTACTTATAATGTCTATATGATCTATATCTGTGTGTAAATAAAGAGTTAACAAAATCTGATCTCTTTTCCTATGGACTAATTTAACTTTGAGTTAACATTTTTTTTTTTTTTTTTTTTGCTATAGGGCATGTGCACTTGCCAGACAGACAGAGAAAGAGAGACAGAAAGGGAGAAATCACCCCACCAGGGGGTATGACCACGCCACAATCCCTTCTCCTCCATTCTCCTCTCGGGATCTTGGGCATGCACGCACATGTGCTTGGAGTGAGTTTTAAGCCACCTGGTTCGGGACACGAACTGTGGTTGACTACATGGGAGTCCAGTGACATAGCCATTATGCTAACTGTTGGTCCCATCTTTGGTTTAACATTTTATGTCTATTTCTATAGATTATTAGGAGGAGCTGAGCTGTGTGCATTGATGCCTTCAGACAGCTCAAATGAAATTCATTTTTTCAGTTTTGTTACAGGGCGTATGTGACTGATAGGGGAAGAAAGAGGGAGAGATAGTGAGAAATCATTCTCCAAGAGGGATGACCCCGACACAAACCCTTCTCCTCCATTCTCCTCTTGAGATTTTGGGTGCTCATACACACCCACCTGGCATGCTTTTCAAACCACTGGGTTTGGGACTCAGACCACAAAGTTGGCCACGTGGGGTCTAGCTGCTTTAATTGCCATACCACTGGATGGCCCTCAAATGAAAATTTTAAAATAAAAATTTGTCAATCAGCAAGAAAAGTTATAGGTTTTTTTTGGGTAGTGGGTGCTGCTTTCATTTTATTTATCTTATATACCAAAAAATCAGAACTTGTTCCTTTTATGAAATAGCTCTTTGTTCTCTTTCCTTCCTTTATCACTAGCTTCCTCCTAATATAAGTTCTTTAAAACTCATCACTGGACAACTACCAAGTGTCCTGCCATTATTCTCTCTCTCCTCCAATTCTAACACTTTTATTTGATCAACATCCTTAAACTCTTATTCCTTTGTCACTTCTCTGCATTGTGAAAAGGCATTATTTTCATTCTTTCTTCTCATTTTCACCATTCAAAAATCTTTTATCCTTTATAAGATACAACCTTTCTTCACTATCCAAAATAGTGTTCTACTTTAGGAGTAATGATCTATCCCTTGGATTATTGCCAGCAATTTCTTCTCTTGTCTCTTTGCCTCCAAATGATCCCTATCTACTTTACTCTCCAACATTGGCACTATTTCTGTTTCTAAAAAAACGAAGAGACTATCACCCCCAACTTAAAAATCTCCATTGACTCTTACTAGTTACAAGATAAAGTTCAAACTTCTTAGCTAGACATACAAAAGTTTCACACCTGATCTCACATTTCTCGACCATCTCCTGTTATTCCAGCTACATATCCTTCTTATAGTTCTGCTACTCTGAACAAGTTCTGCTTCTTCAGGTGCCTGTGCCTTTCACAACACAGGAACCCCGTACATGCCTAACCCCCACCCTCTGCTTCTTTACTCATTTTTACCCATATTTTCGTGTTTTTTCAATTTTATGTTTGATCACTTTGCTAACATTTCTGTTCATAGCCCCTATTTTACAGTATTACGTATGTATTATAAAGTAACTCCCATTATATACCATTATACTGTAAGTGCAAACCCTTCTTGGGCTGAGGATCATATTCATACATGTAATACATACTAGTAAATGCCTAGCATAGTATGAGTACTTAGACATTTCACATTTGTATAGCCCTGTACCTTTCTAGACTGCAATTCCGATACTCATCGCTCCGACATTCATATTTAACCATGATAAGATCTCTCTCATTTTAAGGGGAAAAGCCATATGTTGGCTTTATATCTCCTCTGGCTACTATTCTATTACTCATTTACTTTCACATCCAAGCTACACTTGTTATTTTTTCCCAATTCATGTAGTCTATTTTCTGCCCCCATCACCTCACTGAAACTGCCTTGACAAAAGTTGTCAGTGACTTTTCTGTTGTGAAATACAGGGACACATTACTTCTCTGCTGGATACTCTCTCTTTGCTCCTCTAGACTCACTTCCTACACTTCTCCACTTGACTCCATGCTCCATAGAGGCTCAATGATCTCTTGATCTTTGATTTATGGCTGAGTTAGGCGAATGGAAGGTACCAGCAGAAGATCAGAGGAGGAGAAGAAAGAGGTTTTTGAAAATCATTCCTGTGGCTGCCTCCCCGTTTTGCTCGGTTAACAGTGGCTTTGTTCCTCTCTGTAGGACCACAAGTTCAGTTCAGCAGCTCTTCTATAGCTATAGCTCTTTCTTTCTTTCTTTCTTTCTTTCTTTCTTTCTTTCTTTCTTTCTTTCTTTCTTTTCTATTTTCTGCCCCCATCACCTCACTGAAACTGCCTTGACAAAAGTTGTCAGTGACTTTTCTGTTGTGAAATACAGGGACACATTACTTCTCTGCTGGATACTCTCTCTTTGCTCCTCTAGACTCACTTCCTACACTTCTCCACTTGACTCCATGCTCCATAGAGGCTCAATGATCTCTTGATCTTTGATTTATGGCTGAGTTAGGCGAATGGAAGGTACCAGCAGAAGATCAGAGGAGGAGAAGAAAGAGGTTTTTGAAAATCATTCCTGTGGCTGCCTCCCCGTTTTGCTCGGTTAACAGTGGCTTTGTTCCTCTCTGTAGGACCACAAGTTCAGTTCAGCAGCTCTTCTATAGCTATAGCTCTTTCTTTCTTTCTTTCTTTCTTTTTTTTTATTAAGAGGTTTTTGCCTTAGGGTTTAAAAACAAAACTGATCTTATCACCCATCTGCTTAAAATCCTTCAGTGACTCCTCTTAAATCCTCAGGATAAAGTTAGTACTCCTAATACGAAAGCATTTATCTGTTCCATTTTATATCCAGCCAAGCTATCAATATTTTGGATTTTGTGATTCAATCATACTTTAACTCCTGGGACACATCATGCCTTCTATTACTCTTGATCTTTCACATAGTTATTCCTCTGTCCTGAATGCCATTCACCTGCTTGTTCCATAATTAACTCCTATTTTACTCAAAGCTCTGCTGAAGTGTTCTCTATAAGGTCTTTTCTGAATTCTAATGAACACTCAGGGAATGAATTCATTTGTTCTTAGTCCTGATCAAAGGAAGTACAGACCTCAGTTATACCAAAAATAGAGTAACATTATGCACAGGTAAAGTATTAATAATTTACTACCTGAATAGTAGAAGTTCTTATATAGATAAATGTTAAATATTATTCTCATGACTTATTTGGTATTATTCTATACTTTTTGAAGCATTATTTCATTTCTCTCTTAGATTGTACACTGGAGATTATATTTTACAATAGTATACTTTTCCATATGCCCTTAAAATGCTTAGTCTAGCTCTATGCATGTAGTAACATCAGTAAGTATTTGGAATAAATAAATGGAAAATACAGGATGCCAGAGGGTACTCATTTGTTGGGCCATCCTATTACTTCTAGATGATTCATTCATGTTACTCTAGAGAGGAACCAGGAGACAGTATAGACTTTTCAAGATACCCAGGAAAGATTTTCAGTGAGGAAAAGCACATTTTTACTATAAAGCAGAAAATTTTAAAATCTAAATTTATATCACTATAATTCAACACAATTTTTTCTGAGTAAGGATGAAAATAACCAATATCAATATTTTAAAGTAGTTTTGATGACAGTTTTCACACAAAAAAATTATCCAACAAATTAGAATTCTGATCTAGTGTCAGAACAATTTATATTTTACTCTGCCCTAATTTAATCTGTGAAAATAGCATCATAAACTCTAAAACAGAGCTGAAGAGTAACTGATAAAAAGGTCTGAAAACTCGGTACCAGCCAGTGGCACGGCAGTTAAGGTGGCTAAACTCTCTATATGGTTGACTGCGGAGTCCTGGACTTGAAAAATGCTGCTGACATGTATGTGTCAGAGCCCCAAATCCCCAAAGGAGGGAGAAACGGAGGACAAAGGATTGTGGTGTGACCATCCCCTATGGGGATGCTTTCTCACTCTCTCTCTTTCTCTCTTCATGTATCTCTCTGACAAGCACATGTACACTCTAGCAAATTAAAAAAGAAAGCCTATAAACTCAACGAGCAGAGAACTATATAACTATTACATATTATTAATTATATGCAATGTTCATAAAATTACTTACCTCCAGTTTATTGTTGGTTTGTGGGAAAAGGGAGGGTTTACTTCTGATTTTAAGTTGGATTCCTGAATTTGTTTGAGAGCCTCTTCTAATGGAGGAACTGTTTTTTGAAAAGCTAAAATTAAAAAAAAAAAATCAAATAGTACAAGATCACTTTATTGACAATGGTCTCTTAATATTTATTTTAATTGGTTAATGATAAAATACTATTTTACAACTTTTGTAAAAAGATAACATTTTAGAACAGTGTAAATATTTAAAATGTTGATATCTAATTAGCAAAAGAGAAACTGTTATCTCAAAGTTGTCTTATCTGGAAAAAAATAAACTTTGAATTTTGAAAAATGTTCAGGCTCTTCACTGTAGAATGTGAAATTTTCTATATTTGTTCTCATAGTCATGTAAGTTTCTGGCAAAATTTATAAATGTTCCTATGAAGCCCTGGACTTGGAAACTTGAAAAACATGCTGGGTGTGTGTATGTGGGCCCAAAATCATGAGAGAAGAATGGAGAAGGGACTGCGATGTTGCCATCCCTCATGGCGGGATGCTTCTCTCCCAATCCCCATCTCTCTCTAGTGAACACATATGCCTTATAGCAAACTAAAACAAAAATAAATAAGTAAAAAAACAAATAAATAAAATTAATTCAACATAAATTTTTAAAAATAATAATTTATTTAATTTGATTAATTCTTCTTCTTCAGTTTGACCAGAGAGAGACAGAGGGAGAGTGAGAATGAGAGTGAGAATGAGAGTGAGAAAGCAAGCTGCCAGGCCCAGGACTTGAACTGGCGTCAGCCATGTGGGAGTCCAGCACCTTTACCACCATGACACCTGCCATCCCCTCAACCTACATATTTTAGTGGAGATACAAACATTCAGACTACAGAGAATATCAACTGGTTTTCTAATTAGCTTACTCAATGTCCATAACAGGCTTTTATTGGTGAAAATAATAGCCTGTTGAATATACTGAATTATATATTAATAAAAATTATAATAAAAAAATGTGCACTTGGAATTCTTATTATTACCAGTCATTTCTGTACTCTTTCACTGTTTATGCAAATATAAGAATATATTCTAATTTGTTCTTCTCACACAAAAGGCAGAATATTATATATTTTGTTCTAGACTCTGAAGATCAGGACAAATCCAAATTCTGTGCAGGTACAAGACTAATGTAATTTTGTGCCTTCATTAAAACAAAACAATGCAAAATTACCAACATAAAATCACAAGTATGGACCATGACAGTGAGGACTTCTGAAACGTAACGCTTACTACCTTAATGGTAAATCTATTTCTCCTAAGGCTCTTTCCCATCAGTACATAGAGAGCTTTCATATTATTGTTTTAATAGTCATACAGTATTTTCACCGAGTAGATGTGTATGTCATTTGGTTTCGTTAAAACTTCGAACTTCTTGTACCTAGACCCTTGGGTAGTCAGCCCGACTCTGGAGTACACAGTAACCATGAGTGGCAACTATTTCTCTGAGACATTTAACACAATTGATCACAATCTCTTTCTTAAAACTACCCTTTTGGGGCCAGCAGGTGGCATGGTGATTAGGGCACTGGACTCCAACATGGCCAACCACGGTTCGAGTTCCAGACCTAGTGGCTTGCTTTTTCACTTTCTCTCTCTCTTTCTGTCTCTCTGGTGAGCAAATAAGCCCTTGTAGAAAAAAAAAAATTAAATAACTAATTCTTTTTTTTTTTTTTGGAGAGATTTTCACTGTAGGGCGCGTGCGCTC